GTCGTTCGGATTAGACAGAATAATCCACGTTTATTTTCTCCGCTTTAGCGGTCTGCGTTACCGCGGTAATTCTCGCTATCGGAACGATCTACTTGAAGGAGAAAATAACATGGAATCGGGTGTGAAACGAGCTACGTACGTTTGGCACATCCTTTGGTAGGCCCAAGACGAACTGGATAGAATTTTTCGCACTCGCAGAAACCAGTGACTGTGTCGCAGAACACGTGCTGCAGTTCCGGATTGCACGAGACATCGCACGGCGAGCCCAGGTACTGCCCCTTCGCTGAAAACAGACGAAATCGATAGCATACCGGATTATCTACGACGTTTCTCAATAGTAGATGAAATATGTAGGTTGTTTCCTTAAATAGCGTGCGCTATTGTTCCAGACGACTATCGCATCGTGCTTTCCTCCGTCCAAACTTCAGAATCCCATTGATCGCACGGTAGAATTCAGTTTTATTCAATTTCAATCAACTTGCGACCAAGTCGTGTGTCCCTATCGCCACAAAATTTGTTTGATTCGAGAAGGATGTGAAACGATCGTCGTTACTTGTAAAAGATCGCCTTCTTTTTCTCTTTAGTTGAAACTAGCGCGAGATCGACACATAGAAAATTCAATTGTCACAAAAATTGAGACACGCGACTTTGTAGCAGGGATAACAATCATTTTTCACAGATAGCTACGTGCCACGGCTACCTTAGTGGTAACAGTTTTGCAGAAGAAGGTCCATTCATTCCGAAGAGTGCTCTCAGTTATTTTCGTTATTGTCACTGTTGCTTCGGTCTCCAATGGAGGTATCGTTCTTCTTTCAACTATTATTCCCGGTTTCGATACGCGTCTTTGTTCTGCTTTTGACGTGCAGCCTAAGCGCGTTGTCACAGGCGTCTGTTTGTCGAGCCACGAATGCGCATACATTCTGAACGATTAACGAAGCAAAGAAGCCATTGTTACACACTCTATCCAGGCCACTTTCTCGCATCAAAAGATGTTTGATATCTGGTGCGCTTTTGTAAACGATGTCGGGACTGCGTCGATTTTCCAATGATTCTATATATCGTGGTTCTAAATTCGTGGCGCAAGAAAAGTCAAGGAGATTTTGTGGCTCGAAATAAGACGAGAATCAAGAACGACGAAATCGCGTCGAAGGCCTCATTTTTGAAAATTATGTTTCAAACTTGTGAATTTAGGATCATCACGGTGTGTAATTCTAACACGAAACGGTGAAATATTCGGCTATAAATTCACGATAATTTTATGCATGGATGAATTATATTATTCTATTAGCCGTTAACCGAATGATTAATAAAACTTGTTTTCATCCAAGAAAAACTGACGGGGAAAATTAGCAGGGCATATTTCCTTGGGATAATTGCGCCGTTTGTGTCAGGTTACCAGGCGCGGGCACTGAGCCAGACAAGTATCGATTTCCCCTTAATTATCGCATTATATCGTTATTAAATGTATCATGGCATGGGCCAGGTTTAAGGAGGAAACATAACGATGATCAGCTACGTTGGCAAACGTTCAGAAACACACACTAAACCGCGGGATATCGTGTCACGTTCTCGCGTGTACCCTAATTAACTTTCCATCGAGGGCGCACGGGATGGTGCAACGGAGAACATCTTACGTACGAGTTTTCGCCTAGAAATAGGATTCTTCGTTCCTAGTCCAGAGCTCGCGTTTGCCCTGATCGATCGATCGTTCGAACTGCAGATGAATGGGAGGAGGTCGAGCCCGGCTGTGTCGCGTAAATAACGGAGCACGCAGAATTATGCTTTTTGACCTGATTCAGGAAGTTCACGACGCGCGATCATTAGGCTAGGATTCGCCAATGTGTGTGTGAGTGTTTTTACCGCTCATCGAGCTCTACTCCAGAGCGGAGATTTCCTGCGAATGTCGTCAAGGAAACAAGAGCGAGTGACGCACCATACTTCTCCTTCTTTAACGTCTTTCCCCTTCTGTCGTTTCTCCTTCTCTGCGTTACGTGTCACGGGCTGAAGGGAGCGGAGAAGAAGGAGAAACAGAGATCTTTTTGAAATCTCACGCAGCTGCAGGCAGTGTGCAAACTCCCACATGCAGACATTGAGAGAGCTTGCAGCATCCATTAAAATCAATACCGGCAGAGTGGTTGGCGCGAAAATCAAGAGGGACTAGTTTCTTCTTGCCCTTGCATCTATGCGCAGGCGCACTCGCGAATTTCCACGCGAAATATTTTGTTTTCCTTTATTTTTATTACTCTCTTCGACTTTGATGCTTTGCCACGATTATCAATGCGATTTCTACGAGATGCGTCACAACTTGGGATTCGATGAATACGAGAAAACATTGACACGATCTCACGATCAGTTAGAATATCGTCTGTCGTATCAGAAGATTTGTACGCGATCGCAAGTTCGATGATTGGATTCGGAGAAGAACGAGGAAAGTATCGCTGAACTTTGCAGTTTGTAACATATACCATCTGCCCTCTCGTTAGATTTAACGAGGTAGACAAGGGTTACTTATCGTCTGACAGAGGCAAAACGTCTAGATGACGATAACAATGACAGTAACAAGTGTTTGCACCCTGGCTGAAGATTCTGGAGCAAAGTGTTTGCACGCTCGTACAGAGCATGCGCGAAGAAGGCGAGGCAAGAATCCCGTGGCACACGCGTTTCTTCGATCGTCCTTGTTTCACGAGAAAAGTAACGTAACGATCCTTCAATGAGAACCATCATATCGATCCGAAGAAGGACTAAATATCGAAACACATACCGATCGATTTGAAACGAAACGTAACAGGATCGGTGGGAATCATTTTCTAAGTAGTATATGATTATCTAATAGTAACTTTTGTACCGATCAACGATCGATGCATCGAATCGTGAGACTGTTCGCGTTATTAAGTCTCTCGCTAATTCCTGTTGCTCGTCCTCTCTCCCGTTCCACTACACCACTTGTCGTCAAAAACTCGTTACGAACATCGTCCTCCATATCGCCTATCAACGTATCAAACTGCAAAATCCAAGCAGAAGTGCCTAACTCGATATCTCGTAATATCACCAGTCTCAGAGAACTCGACGTTCTCACCAGTCTTACCAGTTTCGTTAGAATCGTAACACCGTGCCGCGTCGAATTAACGATATCGAGCATTCACGGTTTCTGGTCCACGGGTGGAACACTCACCCGCAGTGATGTTGTGCTCGAAGTAGTCCTGGTCGTCGTCATACACGTCGTCGTCGGCGTCGTCGTCGTCGTAG